TATATATATATATATAATATTAACTTTTTAATTATATTGATATAATATTAACTATTTAACTATATTGATATAATAATATTATTGATCTAACTACTTAATAAATGAATGCATGGTTATAGTTTTATTATTATAACAATTTAAGTTTCCTTTTTTGCATTCAATTTTGACTCTAAATAAAATAAAATGTATCATTATTTTATTAAAAATGTTGTGACATTTTAACAATGTATTACATTTAATGTGTTTCATTTTATCATTAAAAAATTGAATTAAATCAGTTTTTGCATATTTTAAATACGGTAAATAACGTCATATTACAAGTTCGATAAAATAAAAAAATATAAAAGTTGCATTGTACACAAAAAACCAATATATTTTGTCTATCTAAGATGAATCAAAAATATTGTAAACTAGCATTATATGTTATGGATCCAGCAGCATTTATACATTCCCACACAGTACACATCCCAGGTAGCATATGTTCGTTTCATGTACGTTTCCTAAATGTATCCAATGTTTCTTAACCGTTAAGCATCAATAAGAAACGTTTTTGAAACCATTCAACAGAAACATTTTTGAAACCATAATTTAAAAAACGTTTTTTTCATGTTTTTAAAAAACAGAAAAAAATTAATGTTTTTAATTCAAAATTATGTATACGTATAATTACTACAGAGACTACATGTTAATTTCTATTTCCAAATGTGCGAATACTAAAGAGGGCGTTGAGGTTAGAATTATCGATTCTCATGTATAGATCATAACAGTGATGCGATGTTTCCTACCGGGCTCCCGGCTTCCGAGCCCCACACAAGCGAGAAGCGCGTACATATGCTGAACGCTTTGCGCAGCATATATACGCATTTCTCGCTTGTGGGGCTCGGAAGCCGGGAGCCCGATAGGAAACATCGCATCACTGGATCATAGCTGTTATCATGGGCTGTTATGACATGACTTACAACTTGACCTATTTTGTATCAAAACGCCGAACGCCAAAATTTATACCAAATATCTTCGCACTTCTGCGGCAAATAAGATGAGTTATAAGCTTTGTTCTTTATTGATGCACTGAGTTCACACTGCACTGAACCGAATTGAAATAGTGCAAGCGGGGACAAGTTAGTGTAAGCTCTCTGGTGTAAGTAAGTATAAAGAACGTTTCAGTGCAGTGATCCAAGATCTGTAGAGAGAAGGTTACCTTATACGCAAAGAGGGACGAGCGGCAAAAGGGGCAAATGCAGAGAGGAGCGAGCGGTAAGAGGGGCAAATGAAAAGAAGGGCAAGCGGCAAGAGGGGCAATGATGATGTCATCTGCGAGCAAAAGCTATCTCAGACAGCTACTGTTTGCAGATGAGACCATCATGCTCTCCCCTTCCTTCATCGCCCCCTCGCCATCAAGCTGTTTCTAGCTCCCCCTTCCTTCGTTCCTCGCCAACAACCGGTTTTACTGAGGTAACCTTCTCTCTACAGATCTTGGCAGTGATCAACATGACGCACCGCGTAATATTAAATGAATTATTAGATTCTTCGGATGAAGAAAATATAAATATAATGCCACCATTTATACCTCTTTTAGATGACGATGACGGTGGTAAGATATGTATTTTATGTGCAATGTATTATTATTTATTGTTATATATTAATAAAATTAAAATTTGTTGGAAATTTAATCTAATCTAACCTAGTAACTAAGTTTTTTTTTTTAATTTTGATGAGTTACGATTATTACATCCAATTTTTGGAATGATACAAAGGATTGAACGTGTCAAAATAAATAATTAAATAGAAAATATTGTTCATAATTATGACAATTTGGATTTTATTATGCATTTTCGATTATCGAGGATAGTAGCATATAAACTGATAGATCGATTTAAAGTGTTGAAAATATTTATTTTTTTACAAAGTATATATTATTTTTAGACAGAAACAAAGCTTTAAAGATAATATTTAATTAAATCTTTCATATATATACATATTTTTCAGCTGTTCTGTAAATTTGCAATTATTATTAACAATAAGTATTAGGGGTACAAATAAGTTTTAAACCGTTTTTTGTAGAACATAAAAAAGTAATTCAAAATTAAAATATTCTCCCGCTCTTTTCCGATTTTGTAGTGTTTATATGGTAACATAAAAAATAACAACCAACTTCACGATATTGTTTGTGTAACCTAAAATTGCAGCAGCTTGAAAATGGCGAACGAGAAACAATTTATTCGGCACTGCATTCGCTATGAATTCCATCAAGGAAAGAGCGCCGCAAAAGCGTGTGCATCAATTTGTTTGACTCTTGGAGACAATGTTGTATCCAAAAGTACGTGTAAATTTTGGTTCAGACGGTTTAAAGAAGGTGATTTCGACGTTAGCGATCGTGAACGTAGCGGAACTCCTCTCAAGACTGAGGACGATGAATTGCAAGCATTACTCGATGAAAATTCATCCCAAACGCAAAAAGAGCTTGCATTACAACTGGGAGTAAAGCAACAAACCGTTTCCAACCGTTTACAGAAGATGGGAAAGATTCAGAAAGAGGGAAAGTAGGTACCGCACGAATTGAGCCAGAAGAACAAAGATAACCGTGTCGAAATGTGTCTGAATCTGTACAACAAACAGCACAAAAAGTCTTTCCTGTGGAAAATCGTAACGGGTGATGAAAAGTGGATATATTACAATAATCCCAAGCGAAAAAAAATCATGGGTAGACCCTGGCCAACCATCCACATCAACGCCAAAGCGGAATATCCACGACGAAAAGGTAATGCTCTGTATATGGTGGGATATGCAGGGTGTGCTATATTATGAGCTTCTGCAACCACGTGAAACGGTTGATGGTGATCGCTATAATCGACAACTATTGAGATTAAACGAAGAAATCCGTCGAAAACGTCCATATACTGGCAAAGGATTGCATCCGGTGAAATTGCTTCATGACAACGCTAGGCCTCATGTCGCTAAAACGGTCAAAGAAACATTATTGACGCTTGGTTGAGATGTTCTACCGCACCCGGCCTATTCGCCAGATATAGCCAAGTGATTATCACTTGTTCCGGTCGATGCAAAACGCATTGTCTAAGGTACGCTTCCGGAATATTGAAGAAATGCGAAAATGGGTCGACTACTTTATTAAATCAAAAGACGAAACTTTCTTCACTGCCGGAATTTGTAAGCTGCCCGAAAGATGGCGCAAGGTCATAGATAATAACGGAGAATATTTTGATACTTAAATGTATTATTGAATTTCTGCAAAAAAATCTTGAATTTTCAAAAAAACGATTTAAAACTTATTTGTACCCCTAATATAATTTTATGTTACACAAATACAGCATAAAAAACTTTTATATACATTTAGCTTCTCTAAAAAGATAAAACTTTTCACATTTAATAAAAGTTAGTACTATCACAGCTTAATCTTCTGAAATTCAGATTATTAGTACAATTTCAGTGCTTATAATTTAATTTTAAGAGAATTATTAATTACTTTAATATTAAATAGGTTACTTTAATATTTATAATAGATTATGTGTACTTTTTAAATTTTCCACCATTATCAACTTACCCGATTCTCGCACTGCCCTGCACTGCTTGTTCTTACTCAAGACCCAGTGCAACGAGTACCGTGAACTGTTGCACTGACAATGAGTTCTGTTGCACTGCAATGAAGAACGAATTGGTGCACGTTGCACTGCAATAGAGAACGCTTTGGTGTCACTAGTGTACACTAGTGCAGAAAGTTCAGCAATAAAGAACAAACCAAAGGTTTACTGGTTGCACTAGTTCAGAGTTTATCTTTTTCCCTCCACATTGGAAGGAGAAAAGATAAACTCTGAACTAGTGCAACCAGTTCAGCTATAAAGAACAGACCTATTAAGCAGCCTTAAGTGCGCATTGCACCAGTGCAATGTAGCGCGAGTGGTCAAATTCAATATTATTCTTTTGACACATCTTCTGTAAGGGTGAAATCAAATGATACAGAAAAGAGCTGCGGAACGGAGAGTGCGTCATTGAGACAGCCAATCACAGCTATTCCGTATGTTCTGTATTAGTTTTGTACGGAACTGGACTGCGGAACTGCTGCGGAGTAAAGAGTGTGTCATTAGAGTCGTTAATTCAAATACTTATGTAAATATTTTTGTTATTAATAATCAATGATGGCGTATTCAAACAATTTGGTTATGGCAGAAGAAATAAATAATGAAGTAAGTGTAAAAATTTAATAACATTTAAAAATTATCAAAAAAAATTTTAATTAATTAGTATTTTTGATGAATTTTTTAGTATTTTCATGCAATTATTGCCAATTCAAGTTGCCCAAGCTGAATTATGATTTCCTTCAGCATTCATATTTTGCACAATTAGATGAAACAGTATGTGCCCTATACGTTTATGATGAAATTATGTATATAAGTTAGTATGTTTAAATATTAAACTTTTTTTTTTTAAATTTACAGTTGTTTTTTAAGTCATTATGTTTATAAAAAATATAACATTTTGTTGATAATATATTAGTGACACTTGATAGTGCTAATTTTATTCAAATGTATAAATAGACAGCCAATCACAGCTATTCCGTACGATTGTATTCCGCAAGTCTTGTTCCTTCAGTTCACATGATACGGAATAAGGAAGTAATTTAATGATAAATAAAAATTTTGAAATAAAAAAAAAAAACAGTTTTTAAAGGTTATGTTTTCTTTAATTTTAAAATCTTTATTTATCATTAAATTATTATACGCAGATAAACTTTTTCATAATTTATAACATTATATGTTACTTTAAAAGCGCTACAATTATAAAAATGTTTGTTTTCTTAAATTTTATTTTTCGCAGATGCGTCATTGGATTTCTTATTCCGTATCATGTGAACTGAGGGAACAAGACTTGCGGAATACAATCATACGGAATAGTGATTGGTTGTCTCAATGACGCACTCTCCGTTCCGCAGCTCTTTTCCGTATCATCTGGTTTCACCTTAAGGCAGTGATGCAAGATCGAG